GCATAATCTTGTATGTCTTTACAATTTAAAAACTCCTTGAAAAAGTTTTTTGCAATAACAGGACCCTATTTGCACAAATTCACAAAAGCATTCGGGATGAAAGAATGTGACTTAGTGTTTATTTGATATTCACAAATTACGAGTAATTTTTTCACAATTTTACAAAAACAGACCTTTCACAAAATGTCTGGACAGACCCCTGTATTTGTTTCGGAGCTATTTTGAAAAATTTTTTTTAAAGAAAAAGAAATAATGAAAACTGATTAAATAAATGCAACATAAAAAAAAACAATGAGCACTGACTAGATAAATGTGAAGAAATAATGAACACTGACTAACGAATTAGTTTAATACGAAAGTGTTTTTATTTCGATTTCAGAAATTGAATTCAAGTGTTCATTAAATTAAATCGACAAATTTGTCTTAGCAATATGAAAATTCTTTTATCTATTAACTTTTTAATTTGTTATTAAACATTTAATCCTGTTTAATACTCAACTCAATTGATTATTAATGAATTTTATAAATTCCACACATGAACAACTAGAAAGTAAGACACCTAAAATTTCTAGAATAATTTTAAAAAATGTGCATAGATCATGCTTGATAAATAGACAAATGCAATGAGTGTAATTGATTACACTATCGAGGGTACGCTACAGCTTGAAAATGGTATTTGATGATTTTGAAATGGTATTTTTCTACTGTGAAGTGGTTTAAGTCATACTGAAGAGATCTATTATGCAGAACAATAAGAACTGTTGTTCGGGCGATGTTTTAAGAAGCAATATTGAAATATTTTGAATAGAATCCAGATGAAGATGTGGTCTACAAGTGCAAGATTTAGTTTAAGTCAGTTTCTAATCTCAAGCCACTTCTGAAAAGTGTTTGTATGATACAATGGAATGTGGAATTATAAGCTTAGTGAGAGATAGTGCCATTTCGAATCTAAATGGAATTCTGCACGAGTTTGTTAAAGGAAAAAAAAGATCTTTGCGCATAATGCGTTAAAATAAAGGGATGAGGTTGGGACAGGTTTGGCTTTTGAATTTTTAAAATAAAATAAAATGTATTATATACTTGGAAAGGGTATTAAACAAGTTATGTATTTTGAATTCTGCAAAATTACTCTTTTGCTTCATGCTGATGTAATATTACTGGGTCAATTATAGAGAAAATTTTTGTTTTTGAATTAACTGTATCTAAATTGGTTTAATTAAATTATGTCAGGTATGCTCAATTTTTTTAAAAGTCTAAATGAAATAAGAATCAGGGGTCTGTCCAGACATTTTGTAAAAGATCCTGTTTTTGTAAAATTGT